ACTTCTTCGTCTTCTATACTTTTTTTTTTCTGACACATTTGTTTAAAGCTTCTTCTTCTTCTTCTTCTTCTTCTTCCTCCTCCTCCTCCGCCTTCCTCTCGTTCCGTGTCTTCTTCTTTTTTCTTCTTTCTTCGCTTCTTCTTCTTCTACTACTTCTTTTTTGTTTTCTTCATTTTTTCTTCCCCTCTCTTTCTTCTTCTACTTTTTTCTACTTTCTACTTTCTTCTTCTTCTTTTTTCTTTTCTTTGTTATTTCTCTTCTTCTGATTCTACTTCTTCTTTCTTCTTTTTCTTTTTCTTCTATTTCTTCTTGTTCTTTTTCTTCTTTCTTTTTCATCTTTCTTCTTTTACTTCCATGTTCTTCCTCCTCTTGTTGTTGTTGTTCTTCTTCTTGTTTCTTCTTCTTTTTCTCTTTCTTTTTCTACTCTTTCTTCTTTTTTCTTCTTTCTCTGCTTCTTTTTTCTTCTTTTTTTCTCCTTGTGTTTCTTCTTCTTTTCCTTCTTATTTCTTCTTCTTTATTCTTTTTATTTTTGCCACATTCCTCTAAAGCTTTCCTTTGTTCATTTTTTCTAACGTCTTCTTCTTCTTCTTCTTCTTCTTCTTCTTTTCTTCATCTTCTTCTTCTTCTTTTGATTTTCCTTCTCCCATTCTTTTTATTTAGACAATTCATTTTTTATCTCCTCCTTCTTCTTTGGTCTCTTTCTTTCCTTATTGTTTATTTGTTTTTGCTTTCTTTCACTTTATCGTCTTTTTTTCTTTTATTATACTCTTCTTCCCCTTCTGTTACCTTCGAATGATTTTTGTTTCATTCAAATTTACTTTATACTTATTCTTTTTTCCTTTTCACGTTTTTCCTTCTTTTCCCTTGAGTCGTCTTAATTTTCCTTCTTTTTCTTTTTCTTCTTTATACACTTTTTCTTCGCTCTTTCATTTTCCTTCTTCTTTTCCTCCCCACCCATTCTTTTGTTTTACTTAATTTTCTTCTTCCCATTATTTTCCTTTATTTCTTTTTTCACATTTATTCCTCTTTTAATTTCTCTCATTTTGCCTTATAGTCATACTCTCTCTCTCTTTCTCTTCTTTTATTCTTTTTTTTTCTTCATCCTCTTTTCTTTTCTATCGTCAATTAATACAAGTGATGGAATCGATTTTCCTTTCTACTGTTCTATTGTTTCGCCATTTCCTCTTATTAAGAGCATAACCTTATAGGTTCGTACATTTCCGGTGAAGATCGTGTGTTTACGTACAAGGCGTTATGCTAATTAAGTGTAAGACGTTTATTCCTGGGAAACGTTTTCATCTGTAGAAAGAGGGTTGAAACTATATTGTCCAAAAAAATCCGTGAGATGGGAATTTCGATATGGTGTAAAATAGATCAGTTACATAGATAATAATGCAGATCAGTCACAAATGAATAGTGAGGTGGATCCTCACTGGGTGCCCCATACTTTCCGTCTTGTTTCACTTCTAAGCTACGTTTACAAAATAACCATATTCAGTAAGATCTATTGCTAATAATATCACTACTACTACTACTACTACTACTACTGCTGCTGCTAGTAGTGCTACTGCTACTACCAATAATAATAATAGCAACAACAACAATAATAATAATAATAATATTAATAATAACATCCAATATCAAAATACAGAGTTATTTAAAAGAAAAGAAACCGACTTCATTACGCAATATTTTAATAATTAAAAGCAATAGAAAACTCCAGCCAATCATGAATATTTAAATGAGATCTACCAAACACTATTCGTAGCATACTTGTTGACAACACTAATATAATAGCATCATCTACATGCAAATAAGTCTAAAAATAATGAAAGCCTTACGAATAAAAAAACAAAAAAAAAACACTTTATATTAACTTTGAACATGGACACAATATCTTGACCGTGTTTTGAAAAATGAAAATATTTTATAAATCATACATACAATAAATTTATTCTTATTTAACAGTTAAAATATGTAATCCTTGTAAAGGTCTAAATGTATAGCCGAATGCGCTCGGATAAAAGAAAATTCGTAGATTTTTTTTTTATAAAATTTATCATCCGAAAAGAAAAAAAAAAATAGATCGCATGAGAAAATGTATAAAAAACTAAATAAAAGCACCTTGTCTGTCGTATTCAATATATACGGCTATTCACAAAGAATGGAATAGAAGACTCCAGCCAACTCATTAGTATTCTACACAGAATCAACTATTATTTCCTGTCTTACAAGTGTTCAATGTGGCCACTACCTTCAGAACGGGCAACATCAATGCGATAAGAGAATTCCTCCCAGACGCGTATCAACATATCCCAATCAACTGAGTTGATCGCTGTTGTTATTCGATGTTTAAGATTATCGATGTTAAACGTTAGCGGTGGAACATAAACGGCATCTTTTAGGTAACTCTAGAAAAAAAAATGAAACCCGTTGAAGTCTGGGGATCTCGCCGGCCAAGCACAGTGAACGAGGTCTTGGTAAGTGCCTGGACAAGGCGTACTCTGTAAGGCTTTAAATGTTGAACACGCCAATAGTGGATTGAGAGATCACAAGCTCACGGCTACCTCGATTTGTGGACTTCCGTTTACTCCCTTCAAACACAACAAGGATCGCGCCACTTATTCCTCTGAAATTCGTGGTCGTTTTGGACTTTTTCCTTTACACAGACTCCCACTCCCTTGAAACTGTTTACGTCATAGTCGAATGCACTAAGGAGAGGGCGGATTAACGTTGAATTGCCTTCGAAAAGCACGCTGCACCGTGACAACCGTATTTATTTTCACGAACTCGAGAAGGAAGAACGCTGAGGACTCTCCCTTCCGGGGGTAAACAAAGGAACGTTGCCGCAGATACGATGCATCCACAACGCCGCTGTAGTAGCCCTTCAAAATGTTCAATGGCTTATTCCATGATGATTCTTGAGAACTGAAGCAATGGGTCGTGAAATCGTTTCATTCTTTTTTCATCATCATCATCATCATCATCATAATATTATTATTATTATTTCATTTGATTTCCTTCGGTATACCAACCAGCTGTAAACAGAGGGCTTTTTTTCTTTTTTTTTTTTTTGCAGCCATTTGTGAAGTACGTGGATTATGAAACAGATTATGAAAATTCTACCTTGAATTTAAAAAAAAATGGAGAATTGATTTCTAAATATTAAATATTATTGAGAGTATGCGAAATTATCGGATAATCTTTTAATATCCAGCTTCAGCAGTTAGATTTTAGAAATATTACAATGGAACATCAACGATCTCCCGGATTATTTGAAATATTGAAATATTATTATTATTATTGTTTTTTTTTATTTCCTTTAATTTGTGTCGCTTTCACATTTCTTTCCAGAGATCTCAGGTTAGAAATGACACCATGACACTTTCCATTGACAAAAGAAAAAAAAAAAGAAATACATAGATAAAGCCCTTCGTAATGTGAGGGCTGTACATGTGAGAACAATTTTTTTGTATCTTTGAGGCATGGACTTCCAGGAATCCCTTTAATTAGTCTACTGGAATGTTTTCCAACCAATCCTAGGGCACCAACTAAAACAGGGATTGTTGATGTTCCCATGTGTCACATTTTTGAGATTTCTATTTCAAGGCCCTTGTATTTTGACAGCTTTTTGAATATCTTTAAAGATACATTTCAGTCCTCAAGGACTGCCATATCAATTAGGAGGCAAGTTTTTGTTTGTCTGAGCGGTTGGTTTTGATTGTTCTATCAGTGTGTATTTTGTAATCCTATAGAATTGTAACAGATCCTATTTTCGTAACTGGGTCTGGGTGGTGTTCATACCAGTTTCTTTCAGTTTCCTTCCCGTAGAAGTTGCAGATTTTCCAGTGAAGGTATTAGCCCACTCTGTCATGTCGGGTTTTATATTCAGTGGGTGCCAATATCGTGCAGCCTGATACAAGATGATCAATCGTTTCTGGATATTTATCACTGAATCTGCATTTTGGGCTAACACAATATTTTAGTATATGTGCTTGATAATTCCTAGTTAACAAGCATTGGCCCTGTGCAGTACGTATAAAACCTTCATTTTCAGCTTTCAACCCTGCACTAGGAAGCCACTGATGGGTACGGGTTTTGTCTACGTCAGCTTGTTTGGTATATGCAGAGTATTGGCCATGAAGCGGTTCAGCTTGCCAATGTTTCTGTATCTGGTCGGTTGCATTTGTCTTTGCTTTCTTTTTTTAAGTATTTTGCAGCTTCAGCCGGTGTATTACGCTTTACTTATTATTATTATTATTATTATTATTATTATTATTATTATTTGTGTATGTTATGTTCCCTGCTTTGTATCTTGTAGAGCCGGGTCCAAACTATGGTCCTTAGGCCCTATAAAAGAATTGTCATTTAATTGATAGTACTTTTCTTAGTATATGTGATGTTCCTAGTAGGACGACCTTCTGGGCAACTTGTATGTTGATGTTACCTGAAACACTGTTAGTAAAATTGTCCGTTCCTTTTCTCACGAAGCCCAGAGATCCGATTACTATTGGTACAGTCTCAGTCTACATTCTCCACATACTGTCAATCTCGATTTCCTTTCCGTAAGTGTTTCAGATATTCTAGTGCAGATGTTGACCCAATCTGTCGCACCATGTTTTATATTCAGTGGGTGCATTATTATTATTATTATTATTATTATTATTATTATTATTATTATGTTTGTGTTATATATTGCGGTAGAAAATGGAAAGTCTGTCCTCGAAGGATAGTCCTCGCGAACTAAAGAATCCTAATAGAGTAAAACAATAATCCTAATCCGAATCCTAATAGAGTAAAACAAGAATTCGAGGTCTACCGACTTGGCCCTCAATTATATTTCAACCTACGCGTTTTCCAGTTTTCTGGGAGGCCTTCCGTAGGCATCCATTAATGTCCACATCTCATACCTTCGTCAGTTCCCTCGCCATATTTTGGTATTTTTCTGTCTTTCCAGTTTCTTGTATTATTATTATTATTATTATTATTATTTTGGTCTCACGCATTTAAGTAATCAATAGAATTTTGCACTTGAGACATTGTGCCAAAGAGATTCCACTAAATTCAAGAACTAGAGAATGTTCGCATAATACCATTCGAATTTTGTTTTCCCTAAAGACGCCATGTTTATGGCGTCAGGTTATTTAATTTCATTCTAATGTTAGATATTACAGTGATATTCTTATTTGATTTATATATGTAGACAATTATTTCCGTTTTCGACAGAGATGTGAAATAATTTTCTAGATAAACTGTTAATCTTTTAAAGTATTTATTTATTGATTTATTTATTATTTCCTTTGGTGTCTGTTGTATACGCATTTCCATCCAGCTGCCAACCAGAGATCTATGGTCAGAAATGACTTCATGTTCCACTGATCATTTTTATAAAAAAAAAATAAATACTAAAAAACACCCTAAGATCATTATCATTGGAAAATATGAACCTTTGATAAAAGTGAAACACCTTAGATTGAGAAACGTTTCTTATTTATTCTTTATCTATCTATCTATCTCTATCTATCTATCTATCTATCTATCTATATATTTATCTATCTATCTGTTGTGGTAGGATCCACCTAACTTGCATAGTGGAGTACCGACCATATAAATATGGTTGGTACCGGGAAGAGAAGGGGAGGAATCAAGAGATTCAACCAGAGACTCTGCCCGACTGCGACTAAGTCAACACATTCTCCAGGAACGGTCTTCCCAGGAATATACAAAAGACTATATGTAAATATTGTGTACACTTTCTTGTTTCAATACATTTTGTTCTAAGTACATTTTGTGTTGCATTATTATTCCATGCATTAGTCAAGTTTCAACACTATCACAAACTTTTCATTAGCTATCTATCTATCTATCCATCTATCTATCAAAAATGTTCATTACCTATCTATCTATCTATCTATCTATCTATCACAAAATGTTCATTATCTATCTATCTATCTATCTATCTATGACAAACTCTTCATTACCTATCTATCTATCTATCTATCTATCTATCTATCTATCTATCTATCTGTCTATCTATCTATGACAAACTGTTCATTATCTATCTATCTATCTATCTTTCTATCTATGACAAACTATTCATTATCTATCTATCTATCTATCTATCTATCTATCAAAAACTGTTTCTTATCTATCAATATATCTATCAATCACAAACTCTTCATTACCTATCTATCTATCTATCTATCTATCTATCTATCTATCACAAACTGTTCATTATCTATCTATCTATCTATCTATCTATCTATCTATCTATGACAAACTCTTCATTACCTATGTATGTATGTATTTATGTATCTATCTATCTATCTGTCTATCTATCTATGACAAACTGTTCATTATCTATCTATCTATCTATCTATCTATCTATCTATCTATCTATCTATCTATCTATCTATTTCATCGTTATAGGACAGGTACTGTTTTAATTTGATCATGATGGACTGTTGTATTTTCGGTAACTCTACTAATGTGCATAGCATATTCTGACCCAAGGTCAATCCAGACCTCAAGTGGATTGATCGCTAAAGAACATGGAAAAAAGTTTCGGATCGTTATGCACCACCGGACATTATTTCATTTCTTCGGACATTCGTTCTGTTTACAAGACAAAAATCTAAACAAAACATGGAGTATATGTTGCCACATCTAGGCTCAAATTGCCCAATCCTCACATTCCAACTTCGACAGTGTCGAAAAACATTTGCGCGGTCTTGTGGGTGATTAATTATTTTTTCACCCTTCAACTTCTTTCGCAACAGACCAAATTTTACCAGCCTCTCGCATCTCTACCGGAATTTCCATGGGAGATGTTCGGGAGAACAACATTCCTTCGTTCCACCACTTCAGATCTTCACAGCCAGAACCAAGACGACTCAACAAGATTCCCTTCGCATTCGATTACTTAGAATGAACTTCTACTCAAACACCTTCTGCCAGGTTTTGGAACAAACTCCCAAGAGGATGCTTCCCTGGTCAAAACAGTTTTAACCACTTTAAATCTCAGGTCAACCGATATCAATTTTAAATATTTTTGTAACATACACGTGTGTCCTTCACTTTCCTGGCCCTTACAAGAATCTGAATCCGTAAACATCTACCTTGAGTGGCTCTTGGTGCTTTCATTGTTTGAAAGACTGTATTACATATTCCTTCATGGTTGCGTCTGATTTCAAGTGTGTTTTGTTTGTTTAACTCTGTCTAGATAATTTATGTATGAAAAAGTTATCAATCATTTACCCATTCGTAAATTTGACAGGGTTTGGGGCTAACTTGGCAACCCCTCTCTTGGAGACGACATGTAGCAATTCTCTCATTCCTCCATCGATACTTCCATGGCAAGTGTTCGGACGAACCATACTCCTTAGTTCGACTAGATCTTACATTCACGACTAAGGCACGCTCTGTCACCAAATTTAACACCGTATTCCGGTGATGAAAAGTAAGTTCCAGTCATGCAGCTTCCTCCCGCGTACCAATGCACTGTGGAATCGTCTACCAAGACGATGTTTCACCAATCTCTATAAACATAAACTGTTTAAGTCTAGAGGTACCCATTATCTTCTCCACATATCCGGATAAACTTTGCAGTTTACTCCTCTGTGACCCACTACCTCGAGAGGCCCTTCTATAGGGTGAACATCACTATAAAAAGAAGTAATTCAAGAACTTAATGAAGAGATAAAAATCCAGGAAAAGCCATGACATGGACCCAATGCTGACTGAATAGGTATTGTCTGCCCAACGAAGCAGAACTTCTTGCGTTAGAAACCTCATGCTTCAGCAGGACTTCAGGAACGGATACAAGCTCTCAGACAAGCGATGACTAGATGACCCACGGGGAGAAGTGTGTTTTGAACACTGCTGGGACTAGATGACTAGATGTTTCGGAATTGTTATGAATCAATTTGGATAATTATCTTCTTGAACAAGGGTGGGCTAAATCAATTTTTCACTAGGAATTTTTTCATCTTAATTTCCGTTGGACTTGGCTTCAAATCCTCAGACCATAGTAGATAACCATTGATTGAAGTACGCGTCACGGAAGAGTTTGTCGCCAGGATGTCTCCGATTAAACATCTTATATTTTTCTTTCTTTCTATTTTTTTATTTCCTTTATAACGCTTACTTTATATTTTTATAACTGTCAACCTTCGGTAAATCTTTCTCTCTTTCTTTCTTTCTTGCTTTCTTTCTTTCTTCGTTTGTTTCTTTTCCTTTTTTTATAGAGTCAACCTTTCTTTCTTACATCTCTCTTTCTTTCTTTCTTTCTTTCTTTTTTTCTTTCTTTCGTTCTCTGTTTTTGCTTACTTCTTTTTTCGTTGGTTTATATTCTCTTTCTTCAAGAATCGACTATTCGTGGTTTCTTTCTTTCTTTCTTTTTCTTCAAGAGTCGACCTTTCTTTCTCCTTTCGTTTCTTCATTCTTTCTTTGATTTATCCTTCTTTCTTTTTTCCTTTCTTTGTTCGTCTGTTTATTTTTTTTTCAAAAGCCGACCTTTGTTTCTTTCTTTATAAGTTCTTTGTTTTTTCTTTCTTTCTTCGTTTGTTTATTTTCTTTTTTTTTATAGAGTCAACCTTTCTTTCTTTCATCTCTCTTTCTTTCTTTCTCTTTTATTGCTTATTTCTTTATTCGTTGGTTTATATTCTCTTTCTTCAAGAATCGACTTTATTTCTTCCTTTTTTCTAGCTTTCTTTCTTCTTGGTTTCTTTCTTTCTTTATTTGTTCTCTTTTTCTTCAAAAGTCGACCTTTCTTTCTTCTTTCTTTCTTTCTTTCTTTCTTTCTTTAATTCATCCTTCTTTCTTTCTTCTTTCTTTTTTCCTTTCTTTGTTCGTCTGTTAATTTTTTTTTCAAAAGCCGACCTTTGTTTATTTCTTTATTTGTTCTCTCTTTTTTCTTTCTTTTTTAGTTTGTTTATTTTCTTTCCTTTATTTTTTCTTCGTCTTTTTATTTTTTCTTCGTCCTTTTATTTTTTCTTTGTCTTTTTATTTTTTTCTTCGTCTTTTTATTTTCTTTTTCTTCAAGAACGTCGATCTTTAATTAATTCTTTTTTCTTTCTTTCTTTTTTCTTTCTTTCTTAGTTTCATACTTCTTTCTTTCTTTCTTCCTTTCTTTCTTCGTCTGATTATTTTCCTTTTCTTCAAGAGTTGCCATTCGTTTGTTTCTTCCTTTTATCTTACCTTCTTCGTTTCAAACTTCGTTCTTTCTTCCTTTCTTTCTGCGTCATTTTTTCTTCAAGAGTTGGCATTTGGTTGTTTTTTTTCTTTCTATCTCTTTCTGTCCATGTCATGTTTTTAAATTTTATACAACCTTGATTCTTCGTGACTTTTTATTTATTTCTTCTTTCTTTCTTTCTTTCTTTCTTTCTTTCTTTCTTCAATCGTTTATTGTGCATTGTATTATTCTGTTTTCTTCAAAACCTTTCTTTTATTTCATTTTTTCTTTCTCTCTTTCTTTTTTCCTCTGTTTATTTTGTTCTTCTTCAATAGTCAACCTTTCTTTCTTTCTTTCTTTCTTTCTTTCTTTCTTTCTTTCTTTCTTTCGTCGTCTGCTTATTTTGTTTTTCTTCAGGAGCCAACCTTTCTTTCTTTTTTCTTTCTTTTTTTCTTTCTTCTTCCTCACCGTCTTTCTTCGTCTGTCTATTTTCTTTTTCTTCAATAGCCGACCTTTATTCCTTTCTTTATTAGTTCTTTCTTTCCTTTCTTTCTTTATCTCTTTTGCATATCTCTACAAAACTTGGTCGTTCTTCCTTTTTTTTTTCTTTCTTTCTTCGTTTGTTTATTTTAAATTTTATTATTCTTCTGTTTTCTTCAAAACCTTTCATTTCTTTTACTTAAACTTTGTATTTTTTCCTTTTTGAAGAGTCGACCTTTCTTTCTTTTTTATTTCTTTGTTCATTACGCAATACATTTTCTTTCTTCTACGACTGTCTTTCGATCGTTCTTTTTTCTTTCTTTCTTTGTCTTCCAATTTCTCCAATAAATATACTAAAAATTTATGTTTCACTTGCAGATAAGAGCTCTCTTTTGGTCAGGTATCACAAAATATATATATATATATATATATATATATATATATATATATATATATTCATACATTTTTCCTTAAATAATATAGAGAAGTGTCGTCTATTTATTTTATGTAAATTCTTTTCATAACGTCTTATACGCTTAATGACATTATCTTTAAACGAAGAAAGAAAATCACAATATTGATACATATTTTTTAATTCAATCTAAGTTTTCGGCTTACATAAGCCATTATCAAAGATGAGAGTTACTGTACAATATATTATGCAATACACGGACAAGAATGTGATGATAGTCTGTTTCTGTTTACATGGATGACTTCCAAGCAACGATAAACACGTGCATAGAAGACGCTGGAAGCGAAAATCGCACCGCAGCTCATGACGTCACACATAACCCCGCGAGAGTGAATTCGAGAAGTATTAAAAAAATGCTGCTTAATCAAGCGGGTAGAATGGAGATCAATGTGCTTTGGTGGACTCAGCAATTTTCAATCTGCTTGTTTGAATCATCTTCAAGAAGCCAGAGCAAGATCTAAAAGGTCAGCTAATCTAACAGTGATTTCATCTCACAATCCTCACACTTGCTCCATATGCGGCCTCCTTTGTAAATCACTAGCGGGTCTTAAATGCTACTTAAGATTATCGCATAAAATTTCATAACTGAATCAATAAGCTTTTAGATACTCATACGTCAAAACCGACGGGAGAGTCCATTATATATATATATATATATATATATATATATATATATATATATATATATATGCAATGTTATCATAAGTTCTTTCTTTCAACACCCGTGGAATTGGCAGGGGTTCTCGTAATTTGTTAAACTTATTATCATGTCAAAGAATCTTTATGTCTATCAAAACCCGAAAGACATTCATATGTCTTCGTCATGTTTTATATTCACTCTACCAAATTAATTATAACCAACCAAATTAATTATAAACAAATATTTCCTTTTAGCCTGTAATTTATTTTGCTAAGCGCGTTTTCATTAATTGCATTTAGAACATTTTTATATCGCAAATTTGGTGGCGTCTTACCGAAGGCATTGCATCTTACTGTTGTATCACGTTGAAACACGGTTTCTCGTACAATCACCGAAGTTAAGCAACGTTGAGCCTGGTCAGTTCGTAGTTGTGTGACCGCTTGGCAATAGGCGTTGCTATTGATACAAACATGGTTCATTAATTTGATGACATTAAGATTATGATTATTTGCACTATTTTCTTTGGTGCGACTGTTGTCTTCATTTTTGTCATCCCGACGTTCCGGCCGTTGTAAGCTGGAAATTGTTTTTTACCGTCTTTGTATTGTTCTTTTTCTGTATCCGATTGTTACACTTTTTCTAGCACGTTTGCTTTTCGGGGATCCTGGTACTACATCTGCGGCCACCTGAAAGTTTCTCCCAATTATACTGGGTCTGTTTCTGCGAATGCCAAGTTGCGCTTACAGGCACCTTTAATACGTTGATTGTCATATCACAAATCAGTAGTTAAGCTCATGCCAAACACGCTGTAGAATGTCTCCGGTAACATTATCCAGTGCGGAAGTGATTCTCTGCTTGAGTTCATCAATGCTAGGAGGAAGAGCGTGGGACATAAACTACTCCCTTCACATATCCCCATGAAAAAAAAAATCACTCGGGGATAGGTCCGGTGACCGCGGCAGCCATTTCATCATAAAACTCTCTTCATCTCCACCACGCCCGATCCATCTCTCTGGAAAATTCTCATTGAGATAACAAAAATAAATTCTCAAATATATCATCTTGATCTGTTTCTATACATTCTGTGAAAATTCGAGGTTTTTTCAACGAGAATTGCCAAAATTAATAGCCTCCGAAATGATGTCAAATTTTTTGGAACCCACATTTTTTTCCAGATTTAAAGTAGGAAAATAAATTATTTTACGATATGAAGAGATATATTTTTACTTCTTTAGATTAGAGGAGCAATTTCTGATATAAACTTTACTTTGAATAAACTTGCGCATGGAATTGGAACTTGATTTTAGGGAATTTACGATTTCTATCGCTGTCTTTTCTCTATCTGATTGCTACATCTTTCCTTGACTAGTATGTTTGCTAATCGGACATCCTGACGTTATATCTGTGGCCATCTGCAAGCTTCATCACCTTTATGCTGGATCTGTTTCTGCGAATGCCAAGTTGCTCTTGCAGGCATCTTTAACACGTTGGCTGTCATATCACCATATATTGGTATCATGGAATTTCTCTTCACATCCTGTCTCCATTTATATGTGACTATTATATTTTCATTCTAAGTTGCTTCGCCAAATGTTGGAGATACTCCATGAATATTTCTATAAAAAACAATGCCTGGGGATTAGTTAATAAGTCAATTAGTTAACAATACGTAGATTTTTTCCGGTCCAAAAGGAATGAAAAGCACTGAAAAATGACTTAATGCAAAGGAACAGTTGTTCAAATTAATTGAAACAAAACGAATAATTTCATTATTATTTACATTTTTTTTTTTCGTATTTTCCCAATGAATCATGACCCAGTGCAAATTTTAGTACTTCGTATGTAAATTCTCCGAAGCCGTTCCTTGCACATTGACCACAGATTCTAGATTGGATTTAAATCAAGAGAGTTTCCAGGCAAGTCTATAGTACTTTGATTTGCATCCTGGTAACTTTTGCCAGTGTCTTCGTGCAGTATTACAAATTTTCCTACGCTTCCTTGGAGTAAAGTCCAACGCAGACAACGCACATAGAACAAATAATCGACAGTCGAGCTAATAATGTCTGGGCGAGATAAAAATCTGATGCAATCACGGATGACGCAATATTTTTCAAGGCCAAACAAATTTCGTCATACACCCCGAAAATAGATTCATATTATTGCACACCACTGCAATTGACTTACTATGAACAAAAAATAAAAATCAATTAGACCATATCCCTCCAGGGGTCTAAAACTGACCTTATGGTGAAAGAAAGGCAATTAAAGCGATTGTTTTAATTTGTACAGGTGTGTACACCATGATTTCTAGTACTGAATTAAATTACTTCACGATATAAGCAGATATATGTTTTACTTATTTACATTAAAAGATGAATTTATTTCATAAAATATACTTTGAATGCACAATTAATCATTAATACTAAGATGGTAAAAAGGAGGTGTATCGTTCTACTAGGCCTATAGTAGAATATAAAACTACATTAGTTACATTATTCTACTATTGTGTTTAGCTTTGTCGCCATATTTATTACAACGTTTCGGACTTCTTCAGGGGGTTGGAAAATCGAACTGAACTCTCAGGGGGGCAGATTGTTCTAGTTCCACATGCCATGTTTAATGGATGTCAGTTATCAGTTACCTCCTGTAAATTTTCCTCTGAATGTTATCCACTGTCTTAACTGGGTATTGAACACTGGATCTAACTAACGTGCCATGTTTCCTTGAGGACATCTGTGTATGAATTTCTGGGTATTACAAACCCAAAGTCCGAATAATGTAAATAGTGTACATTATACCCCATCTCAGAAATATAGACAGATACTAAAAAGCCGAAACATTGTAATAAATATGGCGACAAAGATGAGGACAATAGTCCGAATAATGTAAATAGTGTACATTATACCTCATCTCAGAAATATAGACAGATACCGAAAGGCCGAAACTTTGTAATAAATATGGCGACAAAGATGGGGACAATAGTCCGAATAATGTAAATAGTGTACATTATACCTCATCTCAGCAATATAGACAGATACTGAAAGGCCGAAACGTTGTAATAAATATGGCTGCAAAGATGAGGACAATAGTCCGAATAATGTAAATAGTGTACATTATACCTCATCTCAGAAATATAGACAGATACTGAAAGGCCGAAACTTTGTAATAAATATGGCGACAAAGATGGGGACAATAGTCCGAATAATTTAAATAGTGTACATAATACCTCATCTCAGTAATATAGATAGATACTGAAGATAAAACTGTATCAACTATATCCAGATTTAAAGTAGGAAAATAAATTATCTATTTATCTATCTATCTATTATTTTTTATCGATATCATATATATATATATATATATATATATATATATATATATATATATATATATATATATATATATATTATTTTTGACATCAAAAAGCAAATCTTTCTAGCAAATATACATTGGTTAAACTTTTGTTTGGTGTTAGAATTTGATTTTACCGTCTTTACTATTTGTATCGTTGTCTTTCCTCTCTCTGATTGTTACATCTTTCCTTGACTAGCAAGTTTGTTTTTCTGACGGCCAGACGCTATGTCTGCGGCCACCTGCAAGCTGCTCCCAGTTATCCTCGATCTGTTTATGCGAATGCCGTCGCGCTTACAGGCAGCTTTAATGCGGTGAATGTCATATCTTCATATATTGTCGTCAAGGAATATCTATTCGTACCCTGTCTCCAGTTACTGGCAAGTGATATATTTCAATTTTAAGATGCTTCGTCAAATGTTGTAGACACTTTATGGATATCTCTATCGTTTCCCGCTTGCTGTGGCATTTTGGTAAAATGCAAATGACATCTTTGCTTGTCTTAAATCTTTACTTTTATGTGTTATGAATCGACTAGACCAACTGTTATGTAATTGTACTAAGTCGGTCCTAAAATAGGTTCGACGTACAAAAGGTTAGGAACTTGATATAATAGGTAATGACGCAGAGAAATCTAATTGTAGTCGCTGATACTTTAGTATCCGACTAACGGTCGTCAGGCATCGACTGACTGACCGAACCACTGAGCGACGGTATTTAGTCAAATGAGGGCATCATATGGCACAAGGCCGGTTTAACGTGGGATCTCCGAAAAAATATGCCCTTTGAACCCGTATAAACGTGTTCAGGGTCGGTTTACCCCCCACCCCCGAAAGAGACTCCGCCCTTCGGCGTAGCCTCGTTCGGGTTCCTCCCCGCCCGAAG